CAACAATTGTTTTTTCCAGCTGTTTATTGATTGTCCATGCTTCGCACCCGTATAATAGGATTGGCTCGATGTAGCTTTTCATTACTCTTTTCCTCATTTCCAGTGACAGATTGATACAAACTTCATTATTTTATTGACAGTAAGTCATGAGATATCGAGAATCAAAATTGGAAACGCTGACGGGTCGGATGAATACCGCCTTGACTTAAACTGAAGTGGTACGGGCATATCAACCGATCAGCTGGACTGGCCATGACTATTCTACAGGCAGCACGAGGAGAGAGATAAAAAAGCAGACAGAGCAAACGAGGGGACGATTACATCACAGAGTAGATTGGCTGTGACTGGAAGACGTAACCACGGAAAGCTGAGAATCGGTAATAGTGGAAGATGCTTGTTGTAAAATCTACAGTGGTGCCCCAACGGTCAGCCTCACCACGGGATAGGTGAAGGTAAAGTGAAGGTGAAGGTGAAGTCACCATTATACACAGACTAGCCTGGAGCCCTTTCATTTGTGCAGCGCCTCCGACAAGTCGTGCCCAGCGCGCCAATGCGTCAAGTTTAAGACGACGAAAGGCGTAGATCGTTCTATGCAACTTTCTATCATTAAAGGTGGAGCACTCCTGCTGTTGTGCTTTGAGGCTTTTGTAATTTCCCCTTTTCATAACATTAAAATCCCACAAAACAACAGCAACATCAACAACAAATACAATCTACCCCCCCCCCCTCCCGAAAAGAATGGAACAAATAAATAATAATTCAACTGCGTTGAAATCTACATTTAGTTTCTGAGATGGTGCCTCCGACTCCATACCTGAAACTTTCACTTGGAGTAATAAAATTGAGCAGTGAGTGAGATCGGACGCACAATAATGTTGGTGAAATGGCCTTTTGGTGGGTGGTCACTGGGGTGTGCCATTGAGTAAGGCATGGTAAAGCTAGCTAAAAAATACACACCCCTTAAAAAAACAAAGCCACAACAACAACAAAACAAACTACAGTGACGACCAGCAATGGCCTGTTGGTGGTCTGTATTGTGATTTTGTGTATTTTTTGATAGTTGAAAAATGATCGTATGTATTGATACATGTCAGTATATACGCCATTGTAAGCCAAATTTCCCCATGGCGGTAGATAAAGACGGAACTATATTTCTTTTTAAAAATCTGGAGTAGAAAAGAGACCAATAGCTCACCTTTGCTGCGACGACTTTGCTGTTGAGTGTTCTATTGTTGTCTCGAGGCGCGCTATTTATGTAGAGAGATGTGTCCTCGTATACATTCATCGTCAGTCTCACGCTGCCGGAACGCGAGCGGGCTACCTGATCCTGAAACAAAGTTACAATTAAAGTGCATTTATATTGGATGTACGTACTCATTTATTCCTTTATTTATTTCTCTTCTATGAATTCACCCAATACTGCTTTTCTTTAGTGGGCAAAAATTGAGAACAAAATGGCGGAGAAGCAACACAAACAGCAACAATTACAACCACAACAACAATAGAGAAGCCAATCACTGGGAAACAAAAATAGTGTTATGAATTTCAGACTCTCATTCTCACACGACACACATACCTTGACAAAATCTTCCGATAACAATACTGCGGCATCTGCAATGCCAGAGCGTAGACTGTCCTCATTAAACAAGGAGCGTAGGTCTGAGGCGTCCAGAGTGCTAGCTCCCTGTCCCGAGAGAAGCTGAAACATGATTGGTTGTGGTGTAACATCAGAATCTACAATATGATTGGTTGCTGTGTAACATCATATACAGCATGATTGGTTGGTGTTTAAGATAATACACGATACGACTGGTTGGTGTGTACGATAACATGCAGCATGACAGGTTGGTGTGTAACAAAACATATAATATGATTGGTTGGTGTGTACGATAACATGCAACATAACAGGTTGGTGTGTAACAAAGCATATAACATGATTGGTTGGTAACAACATACAACATGGTCGTGTGGTGTGCGAGATAACATCCAACGTAACTGGTTAATATGTAACGTCACAAACAACATGATTGGTTGCTGTATAAGATAACATATAACATAATTGGTCGGTGTATGAGATAACATTAAAATATAAATGATTGATTAGTGTGTAAGATCACATAAAACATGAATGAGTGGTATGTAAGACCATACCATGTGATATGACTGTGTAGTGTGTAAAAGAATTATAACATGTCTGGTTTGTGTTCACATACAGCGGAATTTTTGGATGCAAATGATCTTATGTTCACCATTACAGATGAATTGTATGATCGTGAATAAAATTGAGTCTTTCTTGATAAAACGTGTCGTTTGCGACATTGGTGACGTGGTAAGTATAAATATTTAGTTGCATGTAACCTTCCATACCTTCAGCCCAACGATGTGGTTGTCTGGATAGTCTTGCTCCAAGTCCCACACCTCCAGGGCCATGTCGTCTGTGACTATTCGTTCGTAGTGAGTCCTCGAGAGATTTTTCAACACCATCTTTGGACCGAGCTCATCAAGGGCACGAAGGATTCTGTGGGAGAAGAATGGTACACACCCAACGACTTTATTTAATTTCAATATTGCAGGAGGCAAGTATCTTTAAAATCGTCGTTGTTGAGAACGCACGTTTTGGTCACTATAAAAAAGAAGCATAATTTTTTTTATTGTTACAGATTGTTCAATTCGGTTTTCTTCAACTGAAATTTGAAAAAGTATACAACAACATGCATACTGTACTTTGAAATCTGCAAGTGCGTGTGTCTGATGTGTGTATGATGGATTGAAATGTGCCGCCGTATTGTCTTTGGTGTGCTGCTGATCAGACGTATGTGTCAGCTACGTCCTCAAAGACTTAACCTCATCTACATTGGATACACTGAGCTATGTAAAACAGATCCTCGCAGAAACATGCAGATGTTCGATGGAATATTCTTCTTTGTCTGACGAGGACCAATACATCCACAGAGGAGAGTAACTCTCCAGTGAAATATAAGAACTAAGGGGTAAGCTGACTTGTGGCTTCTACTATGAGATGGACTCCGGCAAAAAATATTCGCCATATTTTGAGCAATCCAAAGCTCCACTTCGATTTCTGAAGGTGCGTAGCTTGCAGATTTCTTATTTGGTTTCAGCATTCACAGAGAAATGAAACATTACATATACCACAAAAAGTCAGGCGAACAAAAAATGCAACACGACGTCACCTGTTCGCAGCTTTGTTGGTGACCTGAGCCTCCTCCAAGACAGTTTCGGGCAGTTTGTTTATATAGGTCACCGATTCCATGATCTTCTCCACAAGGTCAGGGGTTAGCTCATCTAGTTCGGCTGTTTTGTCCAGGATTTCAGCCACATGGCTCACGTCCTGGGCAATAGCTGTGTCGTTGGTGAGCGATGATGTCAGCACTACAGTCCGGTTTACGATATCTGACACGTTGTCATCTGTCACATTTTTCTGAAAAATGAAAAGTTTGTTTTGACACTCTCTGTCTCTCTTCCCCTCTATCTTTAGCTCTCACCCTCCCCATCTCTCTCTCTCTCTCTCTCTCTCTCTCTCTCTCTCTCTCTCTCTCCCTCTCCAAGATCTTGTTTTTCCTAATGATCGCCCTCTCCCATTTAACTCTTTGTGGTAGACTTTTGAAAATTAAGCTGTAGAGAGAAACGTCATTCGACACAATTATTTCGATTTTCTCAGTAGCTTTTCTGTAATGTGAAAGCAAACCCCACCCTTTGCCAGTGGCGAAGCGTCTATATAATCAAATAATCACTGCTTCCCTTCCTAATTTTGAAACGTTGTAGCAGTCAAATTCACCCATAAACGTAAACCCTATAAATTAAATGTTCATGTAAAAAGACGTTCATAATCAACAATGAACAGTATCCCTAACATTCAAAACGGTTTCACTGCCACAGAAATAGCCTGCTCACCCCTCTCGGGCCACTCCATAAGCAGTCACAAGCTTTGATTAAATAAGCTTAAAGTGGGGCTGGAAGAGTCTACCAATAGAGTTGAAGGAAATACGTGCATAGCAGTCAATACTGTTTCATTGCCACATATACCCTGTTCACCCCTTTCGGGCCACAAATATAATCAGTCGTAAGCCCTGATTATATAAGTGAACTATTACACTAGTCGAGTCTACCTTACATATGTGAGGGGAACTAACCCCTAATAATCTCTTTACTGCTACGAGTGCTTTTTTTTTCCTCGACTTTTTAACGTCCTATAATCCGATCGTGACCTCGATTATGACACCGGCTCCTGACCGCGAAAAGTTAGACAAAAAACAGCCAGAAGTGAAATTTAAAAAAATGATAATTGTCATGTTCTACCAAAGAGTTAAACTCCCTGGTAGATCTATAACATAATATTATAGATCTAGTACTGACATCTCTGCTTCCTTGCTTTGGGTTTGTGTATTCACTTCTAAAGTTAAATTTAATTTTAGTTGGAATTGATATTTAATGAGATACTTTCCCGATTGTTTTGGCGGTTGAATTCCGGATTTGTTTTCATTCACACGCCGCCTCGAGTAAGATTCTTGTGTGATATCTCTAGGCCATAATATCTGGTTCCGTTTCACTTTGATTACCCTGTCAAACAAGTCAGCCTTCGCCCCTGCCCTTTGCGCAGTTTTTATTTTACTATACTATAATACTTGACACAAATTTTTAATAGCGCTTACTTGAGATAGCCTCTGGATTTCGTTTGAAATATTCGTCTTTTCCCCTGTGGTGTTGGAGAAGTCGCACAACGGGTTGACTAGCAAGGGTCCCCACACAAATCCTGTGTAAAAGTTGCCCCTGCACTCTGCTATCACCAGGGAGTCTCCATCTAAAAAAAATGAGTACAGATTACCAAATGTTTTTAGTTTAAATAGAATTTTTACGGCACTTGCAACACATTTAGGTCATGTAAGTGCCGAAGAATAGAGGTTTTTCAACAACAACAAAACAATGCAAGAACAACAACCCCCCCCCAACCCCC